CCTGGGTCCCTGTCCAATGGGCGGCTTCCCGAGCTCTCTCCGCAGCTACTTCACAGCTCAGGTTTCTCCCTTTCTAAGCGGAGGGAGACGACGCGCTCGCGGGCGGCCGAAGGGATGTGGCGAGCGCACTTTCCGACGGAGATGCAGCCGGCGGTGGCTCAGGATGCTTCTATATGTAGGTGGTGCTGTGGTCCACGGCATCTAAGTCAGAGCTGCCACGGAGTTCCTGGGTCCTAAAGCCAGAAAGTCTCGGGTTTCCCTGAGGTCCTAAAGCGCGCTGACAGTCTCCGGCTACCCCAAGCGAGCCCCCTCCGGGCTTTCCTGGAGTAGGTAGCAGGGGTAGGGGCGCCCCCTGACCTTGCTAGGCTGGGGAGCCCAGCGGGCTTCACCCCCAAGGCGTCCTCTCGGGCACTCAGCGGGCGGTCCCAACCTCAGCGCCTACCTTCCTGCAGGAGGATCTGAGCGACTGAAGGCTTCTCTGCTGCCTGCTTCTGATGAGAGGAGAAAACTCTTGAGCCGAATTCCCAAAGATGCCACACCTGGGCCACTTTTTAATCGACGTTTTGGATTGATTATGGGAGCGTTTTGTACCATTTTAATTTTCTTTTCCATGCCTTCAGTTTCAGCTGTTCGGAAATTAGAGACTTGAGTCAATCATATCGTAACAACAAGAATACTGTATTAGAATAGTCATGTTTATTAACTACTGCATTATTGCCTATCTATAACCATTTCTACCAACATCACTATTGCATAGCAAGACTTAGGTGCTAAGAATTCCCTTTATGCTCGTCTGAGTTGCCTAAATCTGCTTTGCGAACACTGGTTCCATTTCCTAGATAAGGAAAGTCGGCCCCTGAGACTGGCCCAAAGGGCTCAGAGTTGACAAACACATTGCAGAAACAGAGGATCTGTTTCTCTGCTCCCAGAGTGTTTGTTTTTTATCACAGAATTTGGAAGCGATTGGAAACAGTTCAGTGTAGGGAGTGGGTGACACAAACATGATGACTTGATATTGCAGTGAATAGCCCTCCATCATAAATACCACTTCCCCCTACCCTCACGCACATGTACACACCAAATTCATGGCACTTCTAAAGCAGTTAAACCCATGGGAGCGTACAGTCTTCTCCAGATAAACCCTCTGCCTTCATATGCAGCTTTAATACCCATTCAAGAACGGTGGTTATCAGTGTCTTCAAATCTTTCAAAGCAAAACTAAGCACAAGACCAAGTAGATCTAGCTCTCCCACTAACCGGCAGGGTCACTTCGTGCACTTCTCTGGCTCTCGGCTTGGCGATATTTTTAGGAAATTAGACCAAGAACTCTTCCATCTCTGTTATGTTCTGGCTTACAATCAACGTTCTATTTCCATCAAGAAGTTTGCTATGGAGTCTAACCAGTGTGAGGACAAACCTCATCACTGACGGGTTTTCAATGTAGAAAAGTAAGTCAGCCACTGTCCTCCTTACATGTACAGCCCACTTTCCACCTTCTGTCTTCAAAGATTACCTCCATCATTTTAATCATTTGGGTTTCCCAGTTGGCATTTTTAAAACCAGAGATACTTTTCAATTTAGTGAACTCCCAGACCCGTTTTGGAAAGGAGAATTTTCACAGCAGCGCTTCTGTTGGAGATTGGTTAATGCTCTTAATACGATAAGGATGGGCTCTGGGAGAAAAGATGATGCCTAATTCCTTTCTTCTTGCGCTTCCTCCTGGTCTGTCTCTGCTTTTTAAAGGATACCACTGATCCTCAAATATCTGTCACACTTAGTTCTTGAAGTACTTAATCTCTTTGGGCCTAGTCTGTTGATAATGCAGGGTTTTTTTCTTTTTGCCATTCACTGAATATTTTTCCTGATTTCAAGACTCTAGGAAAGATCTCACTTCTAAAAAATATAAATCTAGTGGACCCTAAATTATTAACTTTAATTCTGTATTTCTGTTTCCTTTCATTTCTAAACCCTGAATGTGTTGTTGAGGCCGAGTTCAGAGTTTCTCCATCTTGGAGGCTCAGTAGACTTTTTCTTCAAACTGAGTTTAGATGGCGGTTTCATTAAACTGGCTTTGTAAATAGACATGTGCCTGGTGTCTGTTTACAGAGAAGCATACAGATGAGGTGGACTTCATAACACTCATGGGTGATAGAGATGATTAACTGAGGGCAGGGATGGGGGATGATGTTACAGATGTGAGGCAACTTGTGTACTTTACTTTTTAGACTTGTAATTCATTCATACAGCTAAAATTCAATCTCTAATAAAGGACATGGGGGGAAAGGTTCTGCCCCAGCCAGCCAGTTCTCCTCAGAAACAGCCAATTATCCATGATTACCTTCCAGGTGTTGAGTCTACTTCCAGAGATATGTTGTGCTTATCAGGAAAATGTGTGTGTGTGTGTGTGTGTGTGTGTGTGTGCGTGTGTGTGTATACACAGTCATGTGTTGCTTAACAAGGATACATTCTGGGAAATGAGTCCTTCCTTAGGTGATCTCATTGTCCTACAAACATCAACTAGAATACTGTATTCACTAACATGCACCTCAATTTTTTATGTATCTGAGTTCATTCAATATCAGTTCATAAAGGACTTTCCTGTTCCACATATTATTTCATTGTCCGGTTGTATTTAGCCAGCTCCCTACTGATGGATATTTAGATGGCATTCATTCTTTTTCTGTTGTAAGCAAAGCTTCAACTAACCTTTGCATGGGTCATTTTATCTTTTCACTATAAACTCCTAAAAGTAGAAAAGTTGGATCAAATAGTTGAATGTGTGTGTGTGTGTGTGTGTACATGTACATGTATGCATTTTTAAAATTGCCTTCCACAGAGGTTCTATCAAATTACTGTGTATGAAAGTGTCTGTCTCCCTACAAACCAACCAACATGTTTTGGTCCTTGATACTCCTAGGCAAAAAAAAATGGCATCTCAGTAGTTTAAATTTTTATTTCTTTTCTTCTAAATAAATTATGTGTCTTTAATATACTTAAGCAAGTTATATTTCCTTTTCCATAAACTCTTCATGATATTGGTGACCTCTTTTTATATGTTCTTTGTCATTAATTTTTGTTTTGTAAAATACACATACATCTATACTTATAAAACCTACTATGCAAATAGACCAAACAGCAGAACAACTGGTCGCTATGACATGTGCTGACCACCAGGGGGCGTATGGAACATGGCAGGTGTTGGCAGCAGGCGGCAGAGCACGGAAAATGGAGAGCGACAGCCGCAGTGGGTTGGTGAGCAGGGGTGCCAGACCAAGGCGGGGCACCAGTCACTGTATTCAGGGCAAGCCTCTGGTGGTTACTGAAAATTCTTTGCTCTCACACTGCGGTCCCACCAGGAGCTCACACCCGCTGCCAGCACTGGCCCTGCTCACACCCAGACTCTGGCTCTGTTGACGCCAGAGCCACTGCTGGCACCCGCTGCCGGTGCCCAGCACCAGCCCTAATCGCTCAGCACCATCAGTGGGTGTGAGTGGTGGCTGCTGGCCCCAATTGCCCCTGAGGACTGATCCACGTCCCCCTGCTCTTGAGGGGCGATCAGCAGCCACTACTTGCACCCACTGAAGGCACCGGCCC